AAAAATATTGTATGATACTCTCATTTCCAAAGCTAAATTAATTGAGATTAATAAAAACCTCTGATCCCTTTTTCCTTATTAACTAGATATTCTAGCTTAGCGAAGTGAGTTAAGAGCAAAGAGCTTTTCTGATTCACGCATAGACTTCTCTGATTCTTTTTTAATCGAAGTAATTAGTTCATATGAGACATCTAGTAAGGAGTTTTGGCAAGAACCCCCGGCCGAAATTTTAGGTAAATTAGAATTTTGAATGGATCCAGACTTTAACAGTTTCTTTTTCTTTTTTTGCTTTTCTTGCACATTCATATTAGCAGGTGATGGTCCCAGAGGGTCCCCCACAACCTCAGATGATTCTTTTGAAGTTGACTCATCAGACGCTTCGCAAGGTTGTTTAGCATGAACTTCTGAACCATTCTCTGAAGAGATAGATTGTAATTTCCTAAGCTCCTCAAAAAAGTGGTTTCCATTTTGCTGTGAACGCTCAGAATCGTTCCATATATCATGAACATGATCTTTATTAATATGGTACTCATTTACTATCATGTACACCGGGACCTTATTTTTGAGATGTCTAATTTCTTCAATCTTTTCAGGTGTTAAAATGGTGGCACCCCGCCGATAATGGGTTTTTAAAACCGAGGTAGACATAATCTTCTGATATTTTTAGACAATGTATTTAGATGCATAAAAAATATTAGGCATTAATATTTATCGTTTTAGATGGATAAAAAAAATTAAAATTCAATATTTATTATTTTAGAATGAGAGGGGATGTTAGAAAGCATAATTTATTGTTTTAGATGGGTAGAATACATTCTAATACGCTATCTAAAATAATAATAAAACGATTGATAACCTTCGTGTTCATTTTTTATTTATTGTGATTATTCTCTAACATAAAATTTTATTCTCTAACATAAAATTTGAAAGTTTTTTTTTTACATGTTTATGGCTAATGTAAATAAATGAGAACATATGATCTTGAAAAAGAGATACGTTGCATCTTACAAGACTTATCCAAGATACGAGATTATAATACTAAGTTGCAGAACGAATACATGAAGATCAATGATGAGGCCAGACGGTTGAAGGTTGAAAATTCTAAACTTTTTTCCCAATATGCTTGCGCAGAGACTTCTCTCGCCAAATATAAAGCTGAATGTTATGCAAAATCGGAGGAAGTGAAATCGCTTCAATCTGTGATTAATTCATTACCTCCGAGATACTTTGATAAGAATAATCAGCCAGATGGTCTCGAGAGGACCGATTCATATATAAAAAGTGGTGGCGAAAAAAATAATGAGCCAGAGAGCTCTAGCGCTTCTTCAGAACAAATCATACCCGCTACTATTTCTAAAGAAAAGATTTTATTAAGTGGTGCAGGAAACTCTATTAATATAGACAAATTACTATCATCAGTGCTCACCTGCTTGATATTGCTTTTTCTATTAATCGTAATTATATGGTTAGTCATTGTGAAAAAGCTACGAAATTTGGAGAGCATCATGCTAAAAGAAAAAGTCAAATATCCCGCCCACAAAAAATATATAAATAGAGAAGAGGTACTAAAGATACCAGATAGGCCGGTGATAACACCTAAATATCTACCGTATGAGTACTGGTACTAGTGGGACTTCTTCGAATCTTTTTCAATATGAGCTAATACCTTTTCTGATAAATCTTCGGGCAGATTAATTAAGACCTTTTCAGCTTGAAATACTGTACATGCTACTAACCAGCCAATATGGATCCGGTTACCGCCCTTACCATTATGCCCATAGCGTAGCAAAAATCAATACTCATTCATTACAATATCTGTCATTTTCTCCTGATCTGCTATTATTTTATGAAATTCTTGTATATCCTCTTCTGCAATTGGAAGACAGATTTCACTAGGTTCGAAGCCTATGTATTGAGAAAGTTGGTCGCGCAATTCAGCCATTATACTATGAAAGCATATATTTAAAAATACTAATATCTTTTTTCTTATAAATTCGAAAAAAGAA